GTGGGGCTACCTCTGCATGGGTTATGCGCTCATTTTGGTCTAGGGAGGAAAATGGCAAAGTTTGAACCACCTGATCCTTGGAGCTGGCCAGCTGCGACAGCGTTCCCTTTAGCCTCTCTCCTCCTTCCGCCATGGAATGTCCTATACACTGTATAGATGTGATGAGGGCCTGACTTACTTGAACTGCCTTTTGTTTCTTCTTTCAACTTTAGTTCCTCGTTCTCTAGTTGTCGTCCCCCGCCCAAATGCGGGTGTCCATCAATTAGCTGGCTGCTGAGGTGTCACACGTGCGTGCGCACCCGCAACTAGCTGTCTGCGTCCATAGATGCACAGCATGCATTTGACCTATGACTCTTCTGTCCTCCGTACTCTCCCCCGGGACCAGAAAGTTTGGGGAAAGCTGAGTATCTTCCTGTTTCCAGTGGAGGAGTTAAGTGACCACAGGTAAAGTGTGTGCGAGAGGGGTTGGGGAGGTCAGGGGTTATAGAAATGTACAGGTTTTTTTTACCATAATGCAGAGAATGCAAATTATGGTAAAAGAAAACAAAACACTAAGGGTGGAATTTATCTAAACTGGAGCAGACAAAATCTGGAGCAGTTGCCCAGAGCTACCAATCAGCTTCTCTCTACAGTTTTGTTCAGTTAAGATTTGAAAATGAAAGAAAGAAGCAGATTGGTTACGATGCACAGCTGCTCCAGATTTTGTCTTCTCCAGTTTTGGTAAATCCCCCTCCAAGACTTTAGTAATACTTTAACTAAAGGTGCACCGAAATAGAAATTTAAAAACCGAAATAGAAAAAATTGTCAGGCCGAAACCGATACCGAAATCCGCTCTACCGCACTGTGATAGGCGGCCGCGCGGTGTGGAATCAGAGACACCGGCCGCTCACCGCGCTCTCCTCCCGCAGCGCTCGGCCGGCTGTCACTTTCTCTCCTCCCCGCTGGGACATTCCTGATTAGTAACAAATATAATAGTGATGCATAAATGAATGGACAAATACCTTTCTTTGTCTCTGCAATGCCATGTTAACTAAGGCTAAGATTGAAGCGCCAAATCGGAAGTCGATCGTCCAGACACAAATTAATTCCAAAAAAGGGTATTTTATTGCAGAACGCTTTTCATGAGTCACAAAATGCCCCCTTCATCAGGATTTTAAATTGGAGATAGTGAGGGGAATTTATCAAAACTGGAGCAGACAAAATCTGGAGCCGCTGTACATGGCAACCAATCAGCTTCTCTGTTTAATTTTCGAATCTCAACTGAACAGAGAAGCTGATTGGTTGCCATGTGCAACTGCTCCAGTTTTGATAAATTCCCCTCTGTATACTGGACTGACTATAGTTATATGTGGTTAGTGAACTGAACTGGTGTAGAAACAACATGTGTCAGCGGCTGGTTTATTTCTGCTGAGGTACAATGTGCATCTACATGCTTCAATGAAAGGGGCAGGTTTATAACTCGTCCGCCCAGCGTATAGGAATTCCCTATGCTCCTTTGCTCCATCCAGTGGCAGTAGTGCACTGCATACGTCGCCCACTTAGCTATACGTTGGGCAATCAGCCTCAAAGACTTTCTCAGTTACACACAAAGCAAATAGCGCATAGCCTTTGGCATGGAGAAGCTGCCAGCCCAGAATCCAAATACCCCGTCCTAATACTACTGCAAATCCAGGAGGCAATAGGATATTCCTAAGGTTCCCGCGCTATTCTTCTATTTGTCAGGACAAAACCGAAAATGTTTTTTATTTTAATTTTTTTAAATATTTAATTTTCATTTATTTTTTTATAGACTTTAAAAAGAAATGATATTCATTTTTTATTAAATGTTTTTATTTTTTACTTTTTAGGGGCTTTGGGGAAATATTGGGGGTCTAAACAGACCCCTGATATTTCCCTTTTAAAATAGAAAAAGAGATTGAGAACAGAGTCCTCAATCTCTTTTTCTGTGTCCCCTGTTATCAATGAACAGGAATCCTCTGAGTGTTCCTGTTCATTCATAACTTGAGAACATTGTGATTACTATAACTACAACTATGAATGAACAGGAGGTGATGTAGATCACTCCCATTCATTCATAATAGAGGATATAGTAACCATACCATGTCCTCAATTATGTACAAACACTCAGCGATCACTGAATGTTTGTACCGCTCTTCTCTCTGACACACTGTCACAGGAGGCTGAGTGAGCGGTGTAGGGAGGAGAGCTCAGCCTCCTGTGACAGCGCTGTCTCCGCCCACAGGCCGCTCTGCCGGACTGTGATAGGAGGCTGAGCGATGTGCGAGCGCTCTCCTCCCGCAGCGCTCGGCCGGCTGTCACAGTTTCTCTCCTCCCCGCTGGGACACAGACCAGCGCCCAGCGGGGAGGAAAGAAAGTAGGGATGCGCCGCTGTATCGGCAGCAAAATTGCACTTTCCCCATTTAGCCAAAAGTTCAATTTTCGGCCGATATATCGGTGCATCCCTAATAAGTATATAAGTAAAAACGAAATCAAGTGTAACGTCTGCCTGACTCTTCTTTTCATTTAAGAGTGTGAATATTTCTGTTCTGCTAGAAGCACTGAGCAGATCATAGAAGGGTTGTGATGTCCCCTATGGTGCTGTCTTATATCTCCATTAATGGGCCAGGTGCCGTGGAGGATGTAACTCTTGTGCGCATACGTAGTAGTTACATCACAAGTGGCTACCAATGACCGAAAAGAACTTCCTAGAATCCGGAAGTGTCAGTGGCGGAGCTGGTGGTGGTTGGGTACAGCTCTGAGGGACTAAAGGTTGATCTGACGGCACTGGAGAAGGGCATTCTTTTAAAGTGACACTAAACTCAGTAGTTAATAATGGACTCAAATACCTGAACTATTAACAAAAATATATCTTTTTCTATCTATTTGTGTATCACTCGGCTGTAGATCTTCAAATCATCCCTGAATTAGTGCTGACACTGTCCTTCCTTCTGGAGGGGGGCTACCTGTTGTTCCTCATGGTCCCTGTGTGTGTTGTAAAGTAGTCCCCACTCCAAGCTCACTCCTGTGATGAAATACAATCTCATGTTTTGTTTACTCATTTATATTACTATTTGTACTCGCTCAATACGTCCGATGTGTGTGCCCTTTGTTTCCTGCCCCTGCTTTCTAATAAATAGTCTCTGCATATGTCGCCCTATGGAAAGTTAAAGATACCGCTGCGCTCTCTGTAGAGTTTTTAGATACAAAAAAGAAGGATAGAGAAAGATGGGTTTTTTTTGGTGGCTCCAGAAAGAACAAGTCCAAAAGATATATATCAGTCTCATAGAAGTATAAAAAATATGAATTTATTGAACAATATATAATAAAAGCATTCAATATGCATGATAGATAAAAATACGAAGCGTATACCTCAGGGAAAAAGATATACCTCCTATCACCCTCTATACACCACAATTGAGATTTTTTTGCCTAAATGATCATAATCCCATACATGTTAGGAAATAGCATCATAATAACATATTAACAAGGCAACTCAAAATGAGACAAATATTGGTGGATGGTATCTCAAGTGGAAGAAACAAAGCTTGTGGGGGTGATATGTTGCTAGCAATGCTGAAAACAAGGCACTGCCTATACGCTCAATGCGTTTCGTGCCAATGGGGCGCTTTTTTCAGGAGCGGGGAGAGGTAGTCCTTTCGGTGTGAGCTCGGCACTGGCATATAGCGGACCAAGGGCATGTGAACCCAGGGTGGAGGAGGATGGAATGATCACAGCTAAAGCGGGCCTGGACACCTCATATTGAATGCTTTTATTATATGTTGTTCAATAAATTCATATTTTTTATACTTTTATGAGACTGATATATATCTTTTGGACTTGTTCTTTCTGGAGCCACCAAAAAAAAAACCCCATCTTTCTCTATCCTTCTCCTTTTTTGTAACAAATTTATTAGGGGTTGGTCTCCAGAAAGCAGGGATCTGTGCATCACCAAACAGTTTTGCTTCTAGAGTTTTTAGGGAGCCGTATTTTGAAAATGACAACATGGAAGTACATTTCATTAGCATATTATCCTTCCAGTGGCCATTTCCATAGATATTTCCTACAAATTAGTAAACTAAACCTGAGATTGTAGTTCAAACCTGGAGCGAGCTTGGAGAGATGGCTACTTTACACACACACAGGGGCCATGGGGAACAAAAGTTGCCACCCTCCAGGAGGAAGGACAGTGATTTCTTTCCACCTTTTTTTTTGTTTTAGCTTAAAATAGGCTTTCAGTTGCAGTCCGGTGCTGCTGCATGCATTTTCTATGTGTTCCAGTGCATTCCAGACCATAGAAAATGAGACGTGCAGTATTTCTCCTTGTCTGGACCAGAACGGACTGCGCTGGTGTGAACAGAGCCCAGAAATACCATAGTGATGCAAAGGGATGCCAGAACTTGCTGTGTAGACTCTCACTGCCTGTATATAAAACCCTCACTTGAGGCTGCCCACCCAAGAGATGGCAACAGCAAGGTCACTGTCATTGCAAGTGTGTTCATGTGTTTGTGGAGCTTGTCATAGATTTTGGCCTTTAAAATGAATATATATATATATGTAAATGTTCATATATTTTTTGGAGGCATTTTAAGTTTATAATAGTTACATCATTTAAAGTGGTTGTAACCCCTCTGCCCTAAACACACACACACACACACCTTCCCTTCAAAATTTTAATAACGATCCTCTATTTCATAATAAAGGATTTTTTATACATGTTGTCACCAGGGACTTTCACTTCTTGGTTTACAGTGTCAACAATCTACAGACTCATGTAGCATGTGATTTGGTCTTCCCTATGAAGCCATGCAGAGTGGAGGAGAAGCAAATCATTCACATCACCTGCAAAATAGAAGAGATTTCTTACATTTTGTAATTTGCTGTCTGCTAGGCGATGGTGTGACCGACCTAAAGAACTGGGCAGAGCATCTGGGTGTACAGCCACTTTTTGTTTTCTGTATGTCCCTTTCCATACTTGACATTGTCTCATTATATCATTCTAGGATAGGGTGGAGGTACAAGTGAAAAAGGAGGCGCAATATTAGCTGTATGGCTTGAACAACGTAAGCAATAGTGATTGGAGCAATTCTTTTTACCATGAATGTATCTGGAAGCAGCTGTGGCAGCCCCAGCTCTACCGAGAGTGTCCCTGCTGGTGACTTATTCAAGGACCTGTGGACAAAGCTAAAGGAATGCCATGACAAGGAGCTTCAAGGTAAAAACAGTAAAGTGATTTTTATTTTTTTTATTTTATTTTTTTTGTTGCTTTTAATGTTGATGGATTTATGAAGTTGTTTTTATGCCTCTCTGCTTTTGTGTGAACATATGGTGTGTTTTTTTGTTGCTGTTTTAGCTTAATTTTGGTTACACTTTGAAAACTAGCATTGTGTGAAGGACAGAGGGATTTCTGACTTGAAATAACATCTCGTTGTTTTATTAAGAAAGCTAATGTTACAAGTAAAGGGGATTTATTGTACCTCGTGCAGCCATGTGCACAGGTCCATTTAATGCAAAATGCTGAAACTAAAACTCAAATATATGGAAAGGACAGGCTGACAGATATGTGTTGGCATGGGTTTCCTTACTAATTTCTGTATCAGCTCCTCCTGGTTCCCTTTTTAAATTCGAATACGAGACAAATGAAAGCAGTTATGTGTTGATTTACAAATACTTAAATCTGTACCCCAGGTATAAAGTATTGTGCATACTTGCATTGGTCCAGGTTGGCCAACTGTCACTATACCATACCTGATTGGCCCACATGGATCCTGTAAAGCACTCTAGTACCCAGGGCTACTAGAGTGCTTTACAGTGATCTTTCAGGTCCTGTGCTTCCCCTCTGCTCTAAAAACATAAGGGGTTGCTTGCTCGTCACATTGGCCAGACTGGGGATGAAGAGAAGACACTACTGTATTCTTTAACTGTAAGCAGTATCATCCACTTGGCTGTGCTGAGTGACTCCGGATTGGAAAGACAGAAATATAAATCCTTTTACTGATGCAACGTTTTTATTTCACCATTTGCCTGGACGAATTATGTTAAATGACATTCAGAAACATTGTCAATGCATTTAACTGTACTGCAATCCATGGAAATGCAAAAACATTTATAAATGGGCCCTATAGATTATTGGCCAATACTGCTCTTTTCCCATCCTTGACAAAGTGCTGCCACGTCTTGCAACAAAGCCGCTAATAAATGTGTTATCTGGGTACATTGTAGCCACCATTATGGACTGTGTGGGGAATCGGAACTACAACACATCAATTAATTGCTACTGCTTGTACTTTTATTTCAGAACTTCTAGTGAAAATCAACAAACTGAAGACACAGAGATGTTTGTAAGTATTATGGTGAAAAATCTTTAATTTAGAAGCAATTTACTATAGCCTGCTAATTAGAACTCTGGCTTAAAATAGAGCTGGTACCTAATTCGTAAGTTAAAGTAAAACTGAACTCTTAAAAATGCATTCAAATACCCACAATATTAACAAAACTGTATCTTATTTGTGTGTTACTCATGCTGACACTGTCCTTCCTTCTGGAGGGTGGCTACTTTTGTTCCCCTTAGTCCCTGTGTGTGTTGTAAAGTATACACCGCTCCAACTTGCTCCTGTGATGGACTACAATCTCAATACAAATTGGTAAAGTAAATGTGGATTGTAGTCCATCACAGGAGCAAGCTTGGAGCGGTGGCTACTTTAAAACACACAAGAACCAAGGGGAACAAAAGTAGCCACCCTCCAGAAGGAAAGACAGCGTCGGCACAAATTCAGAGATGAGTGAGGTCATCTGACTGAGCAGGTCCTTGAAATATTCAGATTTTTTTAAAGCTTTGTATATGTGTGTCAACATTTTAATACATCCCTCAGGTCAGGGGTAGGTTTCTAGGAATATTTTTCTTCTGACGCAAGGTGAGCTGTTTTTCACTTTGCTCTCTTCGGCCTGGTTCACACCTGGGCGTTTTACAGTGCGTTCCTACGCTCTGTAAAACGCTCAACATGTGAAAACCAATGATTGCCTATGGGCATGGTTCCCACCTGGGCGTTTTACAGCACGTAGGAACGCGCTGCAAAACGCCCTACGCCCAATTAAGTGCAGGAGCTTCTTTGGAGGCATATTTGCAGCGCGTATCCATTGGAATACAGCCAGGAAACGCGCGTTTTTTTACCGTCAATCGCGGTAAAACGTGTAGCGACAAATGCGCATATTCGATACGCCCAGGTGTGAACCCAGCCTTCTAGTAAGCACTTGGCTGTCTTCTAGTAAGTGTTAATAGATTGGTATGCAGAGTTAAGGCACATCTGTCTGCATGCCACATACCTCATGAACCTGAGACGTGGATACGTTGCTTAACTGTATGCCATTTGGTTTTGTTAACTCTTGCCAACCTGGCATGTGGGGGGCATGAGCAGGCATATAAAATGCAACAGATTGCAGTAGTATAAACAGAATATTAGTCCCTTACCTGTCCCAAGTCAAAGCACTCTCCTCTGAATATGCATATTTTCGCATATCTCTTAAATATAATGTTAAAAGAGAACTGGCCCAACCTTTTTTGGCCATAGTTCTCTTTTGGGTCACAGGAAGACATACACTAATGTCCTCCTGTGACCCAAAACTCAGCATATACTGGGCTTTTGTCCGCTATACGCTAACAGCACAGAGCTGCGCTGCAGCTGAGACGGATCCCGACAATATTGCCGGGATCCACCTGGCTGCCTGATTGACAGCTGGACCTGCCTCTCTAGATACAGAGCCAGCCGTGCCCCACCCCCTGCCCTGTCTGTTCCTCCAGTGAGCACAGGGGGGGATCAGGAACTGAACGATCAGTGGTATGTGATCATTCAATTCTCGATCAATAAAGCCGGCGCGTCACAGTTTTAGTGTCACACGTCGGCTCCAACTATGAGGATGAATGTGTTTTACTCTCCCCATAATTCTCCTTTAATGTTCTGATAGTCAGCTGCTGATTGGTATAATAAACCTGGGGTGGATAAATTATTATTGAATTCAGGAACCAGTCTGCCCAGTCCAGGAGAATTTTTTTAGGAGCCAACTCCATTGAGAGCAACTGGAGAAAACCACACGTTAGGCGCCAGCTGTCATTTTTAAGGAGCATTGGCTACCAGCTCTGCAATAAACAAACATAGTCTATGGATCCATGTCCTGTAGCCATTCTGCTTATGTTGTGGCGTTTTCTTTGTATATTACGTTTATTTTTCAAAAAATAAAAATGTGCTATGCATTGCTGACATTGATACCAGAGCTAAAATCTTCATTGTAACTGTTCTGCAGATTCTCACAGTACTTGTTAGTGGCTGAAAAGATTTTGTCAGCTCAGTCCTAGTGTCTGTGGGTGATGAATATTGTCAGCGAGCTTCAGTTGTGACTTAATGCATACCACACCAAATGCTTTAATTATTGTTTGCTGGAGTCTCTCGACAAGCACTCCATTGTAGATACAATAGCTGTATATAGGCATTCCTGTTCTCTGTGACCCTCACTGAATACCTGAGGTTTAATATTTCAGAGCTGATAACCAGTGTGACAATGAATGCCTTATGTTTTTCCAAGCTTTCCCATTGAATCGAATGATCTCTGAGGGGCTGGGTCATAAACCATGATTGCCAGTGCAATTTTTAGCCAAGCTGTCAGTCATTTAACATGAAGCCGCCTTCAGAAAGCCTTTTAACATGCCACGTTCAACTTTCCCATGTTTTTTCAGTAAAAATGATTTAAGCGAATCTAAACCCCAAAACAAACCTTTTATCTATTGCAGCTTACCGATCCTTAAATGTGGTAGCTGTATTTGTTTCCTTTTTATTTTAGGTTTTTTTTCTTCACTTGTTGATCTGGCCAGTTACACACTTCCTGACTTAGGGTGGCTCCATTCTATGAAGGAGCATTGGAGCCACCCTTTCACAGCAGAACTGTCACCCCCGTGGAGAGGACAGTGTTAGATTCACTAGTAGATTTAAATAGGGTTGACTAACAAATTCAATCTGAACTCCAGATAACACTTGATAAGGAGTTACAGCAACAGTTTTTTTTTCTCTTTCCTTTTTATATGAATGAATTAAAGCTGACTATTCTAAGCATCCCTGTCGGTGTTAAATGGTTTGTCTTAACCCCCTATCTGCTACATTTGCTGGACAGTTTGGTCTGTAAAAGCAGAACTCCGGGCGATTTTGTTCTTAACCCCTGCACTACAAGTGCTCGTTTTTGGTCTAGGTCAGGGGTAGGCAACCTTAGCTCTCCAGCTGTGCTGAAACTACAAATCCCATAAGGCATTGCAAGCCACAGGCATGACTCTCAGAGGCAAAAGCATGATGGGATTTGTAGTTTCAGCACAGCTCGAGAGCCAAGGTTGCCTAACCCTGATCTACGTGCTAGAAAAGGTTATATTTACTTGAACCTTAGAGACGGCTGGTTGCAAGCCTGTCTCCTCCTCTACTGCAACGATGGCATATCCCTTGGTGTCCTTACGTCCTATACACTGTGAATAGAAGAAGATAACTCGGGGACCTTAGACCGCTGCAGCAGAGGGGGAAGAGGCTTCAGGGTCTGGTCTAAAAGCAAGCTGGCTAAGAGGATCGTGTAACTTTTTTTTTTTCTTTCACCTAGACAAAAACGAGCACTTAAGCCTTGCAGTGCGGGGATAGTTCCACTGTGAGGGTTAAGAAAAAAAAATGGCCAGAGTTCTGCTTTAAAGGAATCTGAAAAATAACACTTACTGCTTGGATCACCAGAGGAAAATAAAGGAAACAAAGCATAAAAAAGAAAACTAATGTATCCAGCACAGCTAAGAATTGGTAGGCTGCAATGTATTCAATGTTTGCTTTGGGGTTTAGATGTAGCCAGTGAGCCCAAAACGTGTACTACAGTATTATATTTCTATATTGTATCTGACAAGATTGATGTGTGTGCAGGGATGCCCAGAGACTAGAAGAATTTTACACTAAAAACCAGCAGCTCAGAGAGCAGCAGAAGGCACTGCATGACACCATCAAGGTTTTGGAAGACCGGTAAGGAGCACGTGGGGGCTGGGGGTAGACGGTAGATACATTTGCAGTTATAGCAACTATTTTAAATTATTTTTTGTCTGTCATTTTCTAGCCCGAGTTTTATGTGAATATGTGCTACACATAAATCATTTTATTATTGAAAGAGAACCTTTGCTGCGATAAAATCCACAAAACCGGTAACGGCCTGACCATTTGTTGCTGTATTCAGCACCCCAGGAGTCTGAAACATGGGACACACTTAAATCTCTGGGGGCTGGCCTGCCCCTCCTGCCTTTTGCAACTTCCTACTGAAGATTAAAGGACTCTGGGCCGAATAACAATTAACCCTTGCAGTGGGGCTACTCCCATACTGCAAGGGTTAACTGCTCATTTTTCTCTAGTGGACTGAATAAAGAAGATTATACTCACCCGAGCCTCGATCCTGCAGCATGGACCGTTCACCTCTCTTCCCCCAAATGCTCCATCATTGGAAGGTCCCTCTGTGTCCTCACGTCTAATACACTGTATTAGACGTGATGACTCACAGGTCATTAGACCGCCAGAACCCGGGAGAGAGCAGCTGCGGGGATCGGTGTAGCAGCCAGGTGGGACTGAGGATAAGGTGAGTATCTTTGTTTTTATTTTAGACCCTAGAACAAAACGAACAGTTAACCCTTGCAGTACGGGGGTAGCCCCACTGCAAGGGTTAATTTTTATTCTGCCTGGAGTTGTTCTTTAAGGCTGACTGTTACTTTGAAGAAGCTTTTTACTTATTGTTTCGAGGAAAAATATTTCACATATCACAAACTTATTTATGTGATAAGATAATGTAAAGAATGTTGTGCCGTGACCCATTGTAAGCAGTTTTCCCATTTTTTACTAATTTGAAGTGACTAGGACAATGAAGGATTGCATGTTATTGGTTACAAGATTTGCCCTATTGTCTTTTGCCTTATGAAATAAGCCTCAGCATGCTTTTCTTGATCCCGGCTTTAAACAAACACAACTTGTAATCTGATGGAGGAGTCATTTAATTATGATAAAGAAGTTACTTTGCTGTCATGGCAGGTCATAATAAAAGAATACGTTTGCTTCTTCTAGGCTCCGAGCTGGGCTCTGTGACCGCTGTGCAGTGACTGAAGAGCACATGAGGAAGAAACAACAAGAATTTGAAAACATTCGTCAACAGAACCTGAAACTCATAACTGAGCTTAGTAAGAATTCACTTTCTGCGTCTTATTTCTCATTTCACGTGTCTTGTACCCTTTTAAAGCGTTTGATACATAAAACAGCTCCAGTCATTTTTTTATAGCGTTGGTAGGAAGTTTGGAAGCAGCTTGTGAAGCTGTAACCTTAATAGTATTATACTATATTAAGAACAAATGCCAGGCTTGATTGCTATTTGTGTCTTCTTGTCCTGGATACCCCATTTCTCCTCGGTTTTTGGGGGTTTTTTTGTCCTTTTTGCACAAGCAACAAGTGAGAGGTGAGAACCCTATTGGAAGCCAACAGAAACCAAAGGATTTAACACTGTCCACTCCAGCCCAAACATTTTTTTTATTATTATTATCTAGGAAAGGGTTGAAACATCAGAGATGTCTCATTGCTTCCTGTGTGGTCCCTGGGACAACATCCTTCACCCACTTGCAAAATGACACTCTTAATAGACAGGCACACATTTGGTATAGCATACTAACCTTAGAGTTGGTGACCTTCGCTATATTCCATATAAGACTGACATTATTGTATTGATGTGTTTGGTACAGTGGAAGAGAAGAACACTCTGCAGGATGAAAACAAAAGACTCTTAAAGCAACTTGAGCACATGCAGAAGGCAGCAGAGTGAGTAGCATCTTTAAACTCCAGTGTTTTGTTTCCTGACTACATGCTGAGACTTTTTTCCGGCAAACTACAATGTACAAAAGTCTAATTACTGTTAAAATAAAGGATAGTTTTTTTGTAACATGGTAAAAAGGTTCCTATACAAAGTGGATTAGGGGCCATACTTTATTTAATCATATGTTCACATGTTATTTAATCTGTCCTTTTTGTATATTTTTTTTGAAGCAGACTTAATTTGAAACCTGAAAGCCAATCTGTGAATTTCCTGAGAGAGTCTCAAGTGTTCCATAAACCTTGGCATATTTTGTGGTCCATACTACATTATTTTCAGGAATTGGCCATTTTAAAGAATAACTAACCCCGAGAATAAAAACTTAGTATAGAGCAGCTTACTGTTTCTTAGCTGTTGTTGCTGCATTCGTTTCTATTTTTCAGGCTAAAAACATTTTTAGACAGTACAGAAATACTTGTTATCCTGACAGAAATGCAATGCAAAAGTGGAAATACATATTAGGAGTGCAGTGCAGATATGCTTTAAAAATGTGCCCTCTTCATTAGAGCATCTCACAGTAAGTGGGATACCTGAGTTGGACTTCGTTGGACATCACCAAGGTGTTGCAGGACCTTCACTCTATTGGCCAGGAAGGGTTTTTCTAGCCAATCGCTATTTTCCTCCAAGATACAGCGCTCCCCTCTTTTTCCAATGTGTGCATACATGCAGGTTTATCAGGTGCAGTCTGAAAAACAAAGATCTGGACAACTTCTTTCCCTGTCAATTTTTTTTCTTCATCTTACATTATGTAAATTTAAAATGAGTGGGAACAATTTGAAAGATTCATAACCGGTTACACGTTCCCATGCAAAGTTTATCAAACTTAGAGATCTTTGTCACACTTTTGTACCTAAATTGCCTGTTCCTAATAATGATGGTATTGTTGGATAAAAATATTTTACATGGCTGGCGTAATTCTTTAAGTTCTTGAAGCTCTTCTGGTTCAAAATGTAGATTTACAATGGATCCCGTGACTTCTAGCCATATCTTTTAATAGCTCTGCTATTTACCTTCCCAAAGCTGAAATATTTTTAATCTCTGAGCATGCCTACACTGTGAGCATCTAGCAACACAAATTAGGCTATATTTATAGTGTCTCCAGTCTTGGTGTATAACCCTATACAAGCCTATGAGGGCTTGCTGCACATGGCTTGAAGTATGCAGCGGGTTGTGGGGTTTCTAGGGATGGTGGGCTAGTGTGTGTTGTTTTTTTTTTGTACTGAAAGCACACTTGTCCTTTTTAATGCACTAATCTTTATAACTACATGATCCCAGAAATTATGATATCAATTATATTTTGGCCGCTCTTCTGAATTTTTTTTTTTTTTATCTTCGTTAATATTCAGCACACTATTGAAGGCACATGACGAAGAAACAGCCACTCATGGAGATGGCGAGGATGGCATTATTCCTGACTCTCCAGTCAGTTCCTTTTCTGGAAATGTAATCAGCAGAATGCGCAGGAGAAAACTGAATAAGCACATTCGTTATACAGAACACACACAAGATGAATTAGAGACTTCAGAATGCACAAACAGTAAGTTACATGACCTCTGCCCAGGTAAATATAGTTCGGATAGTCAAAGTCCAAATAACAAAAATTCTACCAGTATACCGATGTAAGCAGATCTAGCACAAATATGTTTTTTTTTCACCATGCACGCCTTGCATTGTACAAAGATATCCCGCCACGTAAAATGATCGTTGCCACTGTTACAATCCCAAGGGAATGTATAGTGCTTTTTTTATATTTTCATTTGGATCAGGATACAAAAATAAAGCATTTTATCCTTCCCAGATCACTCTCTTTTGTTTATATGTTCTTGGGTGTGCATTCAGCCATAGCAAAGCACTACATTGCTTGGGGCCTAAAAGGTAATTTCAGGATAATATATAAAGTAAAAATAGGGGAAAGTGAATGTGTAGTTTTACGGACATCACTGTTCCAAATTTGGGGGATATTTACATATAAAGTAAACCTAGGGTAACAATACTGCTGAATTGTTGTGTCTGTAAGCACCTGCATTAATCTTAATGTGTAGTTCCACTTTTGCAGTCTAATTTGAGAAAACTCCACTATATGTTTATGTATTACTATTCACACAGCGCATCGAAAAATATTTTGTAACATATTTCTTACCTTTTTTAAATATTACATTGATGAAGGCCTTTGTGCAGATTCCAGTGTACTCTGAGCAGTTTGAAAATTAAACTAGAGGGTCAATCAGAGTCAGACTGAGCTTCTTCTCATTTAAGGGCCGGTTCACACCACAAAGGCTGCCTTCCAGAGCGTTCGGCCTATGGAACGCAAGCCGGTCAGCTCCCTGTTTTCAGGGGCAGGAGGGGGCGTGGCTGCAGTGCCATTGACTTCAATGCACTGCCACGCCCCCTCCCGAACGCTCTGGAATGCAGAGTTTGTGGTGTGAACCGGCCCTAAAAGAGAACTATGGGGGTAACCTTTTTATCCCATAGTTCTCTTTAGAGTCACGGAAGGACATATACTAGTGTCCTCCCAAGACCCAAAACTCAGTATATGGCCGACTATTGCCAGCTATATACTGAGAGCGCTGCAGCCGGGACTGATCCTGACCAATACTGTCGAGATCCACCCAGCAGGCATATTGACAGGGGGCTCTGGCTATCTAGAGGCTGAGCCAGCTGTGCCCGCCCCCTCCCCTGTCCGTTCCTCCAGTCATCGCTGGAGGATCGGAGAGGGGAGGTGGGTGGGAATCCCTGCGACGGCACCCATGATTGCCAAAAAGAATATCAAATTTCATTTGGTCTGACCAAAAAACAGTTTTCCACTTTGCAGCAGACCATTTTAGACGAGCTTTGGCCCAGAGAAGACGGTGGCGTTTCTGGATCGTGTTCAGATATGGCTTCTTCTGTGTATGATGGAGCTTTAGCTTGCATTTTTGGATGGCACGGTGAACTGTGTTTACAGAAAGTGATTTTTGGAAATATTCCCCATGCAGTGATGTCCATAAGAGGATCATGCCTGTTTTTAATGCAGTGCCGTCTGAGTGCCCTAAGATCACGATCATCCAATATTGTCCCTTGCGCACAGAGATTTCTCCAGAAAGTCTTTGCAATTTTACAATGAGGAACATTCTGAAATTGTTTGAAATTTTTAGACCCAGCTTTTCACAGATTGGTGAACCTCTGCCCATCTTTACTTCTAAGGCTGGGTTCACACCTGGGTGTACTGAGGCCCGTTTTTTAGTTCAGTGAAACGCGCGTTCGACGCTCGTTTTTATACCTCCCTGCCGGTATGATTTTTGACATTTTATTTTCTCTTTTTTTCGTTTTTTTTTTTTTTAAACTTTCAAACTTCCCGCCTGTTCCGCCCCTATGCGACGCGGTTGCTCGCATGGGACGGAACCCAGAAGCTGGCAGCGGCCGGAGGACACAGCGGGGATCGTGGACAAGGTAAGACCTACACTGTATTCCCGAGCGTGGCTCGGGGTTACCGCTTTGTTAACCCCGAGCCACACTCGGGAATACCAATGGATATGCGCGGAAATACGCCCCAAAGAAGCTCCTGTACTTGTTTGGGCGTAGGGCGTTTTTCAGCACGTTTCCACGCGCTGAAATACACCCAGGTGGGAACCATGCCCATAGGAAATTATGGGATTTCACTTGCTGAGCGTTTTCAGCGCTTCGATCAGCGCTGAAAAACGCCCAGGTGTGAACCCAACCTAAGACACTCTGACTCAGGCCGTCAGTGAGCATGTTCCTATTTTTGTTTTGCACAAGGTGAATAGCTACTTCTGTTTCTAATTAGCAAGATGCGGATTGCACTGCAGTGCTCTGAGTATATTAACATTACACTGCATTGAATCCCGCACTATTTTCTTGTATATAGTGAATGTGGCAAAAAAAACAGCTGTTAAGGATTTCAATTTCCATGTTGCAGAGAGCTGTTATTACTATATTTGAAACACTGGAAATGGCTATTGGCGTCTTGAAATATTATTCACTTTGATCCACGAATTGTGCTCACTTCAGAAATGATAAATCAGGACAGAGAAGAAGAAACTGATATCACATAAGGATAGGTTTCTGCCTATGTAACCGTTCGCTAGACTTTGTCACAGTATAAGAGCAGTTTTTGCATAGCATGCAAATAGCTACTTGGAAACATTCAAATCGTGGCAAACACTGCACAGATACAAACAGAATCTATAAATAAACCTCTTCAGCTGCCTTTTTCCAAAAAGGGAGTTTGTGGCAGGCGAATTTGAAAGAAAACTGATAACCGAATGACTGATCTTTTCGTGCTTCTCAAAAAGTCCTAGCCATGAGACAGTATTATGTACATCTTCCAACTGCAAATGACTGTCGGTTACTAGGGGGAAATATCTGATCGGAACCCCTCTAATTCATTTACACCAGCACTGCAAGACTAACACTGGTGGGAGCTGCTACTCATACTTGGCACAGTGCTGCTCCGGCATTTCAATGAGTGTTTGGGCTGCTTCTGGTCAATACAGCCGGCAGTAGAATTCTATACTGAAGAAAGCCAAGTGGTGCTTGACATTACTTAAAAAGCACCGTTAAAAGTGATGATTGGCTGGGATTGTGAGTAGGGAAAGGCCCTGGCCACCTGTGTTGGAAAGTGAAAAACCCTTTTTCACAACACGGTGAACTTAAAAATATTATAAAAGGGACCTTCTGTGGCTTTAGCATTCATAATATGGAAAGAAAAAGCTTTGCTCGCTTCTTCACCTGCCTGTTTGCATGAGCCACAACATGAGGCATCAGCTGAACTATTCTAAAGGTAGAATATAAATTAATGTAACTTTGAAAAGGGGCTTCCTGGTGACTCATTCTGGGATATTAAAGTGAAAATCCATAGTTTAACTTTCCTGGCGGTATTCCTGAGTGTGGTTCGGGAATAATTTTCAGTACCAAAAGCGGTAACCCCGAGCCACACTCGGGATTTACGCACAGTGTACTTAACCTGTCCACGAGCCCCGCTGTGCTCCGGCCGATGCCGGCATTCGTCTTCCGGGTTCTGTCCCTTGCGAGCGCTCGTGTCGCAGGGGGGCAGAACCAGCGGGAGATTTAAAAGTAAAAAATTGGGGGGAAAAAGAGATAATCAGACCCCCAGGGAGGTTAAAGAAGAACTTATTGTTTTACAAAAATTAACCCTTGCAGTGGGACTTCCCACACTGCAAGGCTTAACTGCTTGTTTTTCTCTAAGGGCGATGATAAAGAAATACTCACCTGATCTTTGGTCCTGTCTGGCTGCTAGACCGGTTCCCATAGCCTCTTCTCCCCTGGGCTACAGCGGTCTAAAGACTTGTGATGTCATTATCTCAAATGCAGGTCTATTAGACATGAAGATGCCGAGGGACATACCACAGCCGGAGCAGGAGAGAGGTGAGCGGTCACTGCCGCAGGACTGAGGATCGGGTGAGTGTATCTTTGTTTGCCCCTAGAGAAAAACAAGCAGCTGACCCTTGTAGTGTGGTGGTAACCCCACTGCAAGGGATATCTTCAAAAACCTGGAGTTTTTTTTCTACTTCTTTAATCAAGGAAACCAGACACAAGATGACAGCAAACAGAAACCTATTTACAGGCTATACTTGTTTTGTGTTGTGTTTTCTCTGAAGACCGTTTGCGTTCAAATTGCTTTTTATTCATATAAATGGAATATACTGTAGCTTACATGTATGCTTGCTTGAATTACATGTTATGTTGTGTTCAAGGCATCCCAGTATGATATTACATTCCGGCAAGAATTTGTAGTGAAGCACCTGAGATTTTGCCTACGTGAGGTTTAGACACACTATTAATTTGCAATGCAAAACTAGGATGTTTGAATTTGGTGATATACCTATACGGAGGTAATACAAAGCATGCAGACGTCTACTGTAATAGATCATTGCTAAATATTTCTCAGTGACATGCTGCGTCTCCGTTTTTGCAACAAATAAAAGCACTGTTTTATTTTTTTGTAGATTAAAGCGAGGCTAGAACTCCTGTCAGATATTTCGTTCTGTCTGTGTCCCTGTTGCAGAGTTTTTCTAACTTCCTGTTTGTTGAAACTGTTGTCACCAGGACAGAATGGGGGAGTTTATCAAAACTGGAGCAAACAGAATCTGGAGCCAGTGGCGTCACAAGGGGGGTACATCCTGCCCCCGGGTGACACCATTGGAGGGGTGACACCAAAATGACTGACAGTCATTTTGGTGTCACCCTCTGAAAAGTCAGACAATCGGTCATGGACCGAGAGCCCGACAGCTGCAGGAGAGAGAGGAGGGGACCCGGCGGCATACCTTATCCTGCTGGGTGAACGTTCGCTCCTCTCTCTGCCAGCGTCCATCACCAAGATGGCTGCCAGCAGGTATCAAAAAGATGACCACATGTGTGCGATGATATTTCTCCAGGGTGTCGCCCGGTTTGCGCTCCGGGTGACACCCGGCCTCGGGATGCCCCTATCTGGAGCAGTTGCCCATGGCAACCAATCAGCAGCTCTCTTAAAGGTACGAATTGAAAATGAGAGAGCAGCTGATTGGCTGCAGTGCAAATCTGCTCCAGATTTTGTCTGCTCCAGGTTTGATGAATTCCCCCCAAAGTGAGTTAAAATCTTTCTGCCAAAGCCTTGGATAGCAGTCAAAACTAGACGGGTATTGAATTCTTCCACACTCCATCCAAAACTACAAGAAAAAAGTTTTACTTAAACAACTCTTTGAACCTGGAATATGTCTGTAAAGGTTCTCATTTAGACAGGACATGTATAAACAGTGGAGTTCTGCTGTCACGGTCAGCCATCCACTTGTTATCAGGAGCTGATAGACTGAGTATAGAGCCTGGCTGTAACGGGGCCCCAATGATTACACACCTCGGTCCTGCTCTACATTTATTTCGTTATGAATGAAAGCTACTGTTGTAACTTTAATTCATACATTTGTGTCAGTTTAACATTTTAGTTCTTTATTGGTTGACCCTAATTAGGGGGGGGGGGGGGTGATACGTTTTGATTCCACTTAAATAGAAAATGAACAGGAAAAGATATTTGAATGAAATAAATATATACCTACATTTATTTATTTTCAAAGCTGCGTAATTTTTTTTCTACAAAATCTCCACACACTTCAATACACTTTCTCCAAGGCTGCACTCGTTTTTGAAATCCGCCCTTTTTTTTGGTTTTGAAATCATTTCCTCACTGCAGACTTCACCTCTTCATCACTGATGAAGTGCTGGCCCTTCAAGTGTTCTTTTTTAGGTTTAGGAAGAAGGTGGAAATCACTAGGAGCCAGGTCTAAGTTATAGGGTGGATGCAGCCGCACTGAAAGTCCAGGCCTTGAATTGCATCTCTTGTTAAGTGTTTCATTTCTGTTGTCCTCGTGGTTGTCCTTGCAGACTTTATTGCAAAAGGAACAACAAATAAACTCTTACTGCATTAAAAAGAAGGATCAAATGGATTGGAATAAGAAAAACACTTCCAACACGGCTACGCCAGGCCTCACACAAGTGCAGCAACAAGAGATGCAATTCAACGCCTTGACTTTTTAGTGTTGTCGCAAACACCGTATAGCCCAGACCTGGCTCCTAGTGATTTCCACTTGTTCCCAAAAGTAAAGGAAAAATGTATCAGCCCACCCTCGTACATTGTTTTTGTATAACCAATTTAAATACTTTGTAGCAGACCAAAACTAACACTAGCCCTTAAACCTACCTCTGATTGGATTCCTAAAACTTGCACCTCGCTTAAAGGAGAACTATGAGGTGAGTGCTTTTCACTCACCTCATAGTTCTAGCCGACCTGTGACAATGAGAGTGTCACAGGTCGGCTCAGTAGTTCGGGAGGTGAGCGAACACATACCGGCATTGGCTCACCTCTCGATCCTGTCTCGGCCTGGATTCCCCCCTCCCTGCTCCGATCCGCCAGTGCTGACTGGCGGAACGGACGGGGGAGGGGGCGGGTACAGCTGGCTCTGCCTCTAGAAAGGCAGAGCCAGCTGTCAGTCACGCAGCTGGGCGGATCCAGACATAATTGTCGGGATCCGCTCCTGCGTCTTAGTATGCTGCTCGCGGTATACTGCGGCGTCTCAGTATACCGCAAGCTACAGCTCGCGGTATACTGAGCTTAGGGTGACGGGAGGACGCTTGTTTGTGTCCTCCCGTTACCCTAAGGAGAACTATGGGGAAAAGCCTTAACCCCATAGTTCTCCTTTTAACTTGGACATGCTTGCTAACAGTAAACCTTGATACTAATGCCTACCCCTTGCCTAATGCCTAGCACTAAATAAACCCTGGAATGGCATGCTCATGCCAGATTACGGCTCACCAAAAGCCATGATTTGTACTGAGATCTAGGTAAGGATAACCTTTAGCTTGCTTATATTGACAGTGTGGCAAAACTTAAATTTTGCACTGGAAGGCGGAAGGGGTTAGAACCTCTGCCATGTAGTTGCTTTTGTCTCTTGTCTTGGAGCTTATTCCTCACTTTCCTAAACTGTTATGCAACAATACATAGACACAGACTGCAATAACATTCTGACAGAGGTCTCTGAGCCGCAATATGTTCAAAGCTGACTGTAAAAATGTTTTGGTTGAAAATCTAACAGTCTCCCCCCAAGAAAAAGAAATTCTGGATAAATTTTTTTTTAAAAGCAGCCTTTAGTTTATGTAATTTTTCAGCTGTGTTTTTGGCCAGAGTTCTGCTTCAGAGTCTTCACTCTACCTTTGTCTTTTCTGAATGCTTGATCTGCTTGGATACCTTTTTGGTGTTCCTGACTAACAATGGTTCCTTATAGCTGAAAAGCACAGCAGGATTGTGGAAGTGATAAAGCTCTACCATAGCTGCGGGGAGATTACAGATGCCTTGTCTATGCCAATTTTATTCCAGCTCTAAATGTTATCAGTAACTGGAACGCTGCATAAAGATAACAAAATCTTTCTGGGCTCTGTTCTTTTTGTAGGTTCTGCAGCAAGGATATTTGCCTCCACTCAAGTAAATAACAGGAAAGGAGAGACTGTCCTAGTTGCTGATACATGTGCCTTAACATTGTCTCCAGTTCCCAGTAAGTATGCAACAGCATATCAAATCTTACTGCGCCCTGTACAGCAGGTCTTTCTACGTTTCTTTTTATGGTTACCTTTTAAAAAGAATGTAAAAAATTCTTGACAATCTTAACAAAACCTTGGCCTTTCAGACAGTTAAAGTGTATCTTTAGTAGACCTGTGCGATTCGTTTCGTTCCGAATCGAAATTCGGACGAATTTTTGGAAATTCGGACATTTGGATGTATCCGAATTACAGACATAACGAATGCAAACGAATCCGAATTTCCATTTCCGAAATTCGGTAGCGTTAGTACGAACGTTCGTTTCGTTTTCTGTTCTTGCTCGTTTCTTGTTCGTTGGAGCAAAGTGACATTAGAGAAGGAGAAAAATATTTTTTCCCCCTCAAATGTCACTTTTGCTACGAACGAACGAAACGAATAAGAACAGAAAACGAAACGAACGTTCGTACTAACGCTACCGAATTTCGTCCGAATCCGAATTGACTTTCACACCCGAATCCTGAAAAACGAAATAACACAAATCCGAATTTAAAACTAAACTAAACAAATTTTTTGGCAGTGCACATGTCTAATCTTTAGATAAAACTTTTATTGTTTTTTGGATAGTGTAAGGAAGCTTAAGACCTCAAGACAGGTTTTTCTTTTGCTGTCTGTATCTTCACTAGAAAGATGAATCCTTTTTTGTCCTGGTGACCAGAAATTTAATGGAAGATTTAACATTTTACAGCTATCACAGGAAGTGAAAGGAAATCTTCCATCTGTCAACTGTCTTTACTTTAGAGAGGTTTCCTGTTGTGTCTCCGGGGCAGGAAGTGCAATCTCTGCAACTAGACACAGCAAAAAAAAAAAAAAATATGACGGATTTTTTAAGAATTATTGCGATACATAGAGATTGTCCAAAAGCTTTCATTTTAGCCTCCTGTTTCAATACTTTGTGTTGCCCACATAAAACAAGTATGGAAATAAGGGTGTCTGACTTAACGGATATGTATACGTTTTCCAGGTCAGTGATGGAAAATGTATTGAACCCAGTTTGTCATTGTTGGCAGCACAGAGTAGTAAACCTGAACATGTGCTTACTTTTCTTTTCTGCTTTGTGTTTGGGCAGCATTGGGGCTCTGAACCTCTTGGTCACTTCAGGACCAGTTAGCTCAGGGGTAGGCAACCTTGGCTCTCCAGCTGTGCTGAAACTACAAATCCCATCATGCTTCTGCCTCTGGGAGTCATGCCTGTGGCTTGCAATGCCTTGTGGGATTTGTAGTTCCAGCACAGCTGGAGAGCCAAGGTTGCCTACCCCTGAGTTAACTCCCTAGTATCCCGATGCTCCCCCTACCTCCTATGACATAATTTCCGCCTCTGCCGTGGCTCCCGGCAAGGCTTCACAAGAGCTCGTCTGACAGCTCCAAGGCACAGTGCAGGTGCATGCATAGTTATTGCGTTGGAGGTAAGGGAAGGGCATGCTGGGGGCTGGACCTAGGTAACTGAGGTTCACAGCAGCAAGAGCGCACATTTGAGCCAGTCTACTTGTCACATGGATAGGATTTCACAGCTGCATTCCAGGGTGGAAGTACGACTCTGCACTTCCATCGAGTGAAATCTTGTGCAATGCGCAAAGTAGATCAGCTACCAAGTGAGCTACCACCTCTGAGTGCCGCTGACCTCACAGACAAAATGTTGGCGCCCAAGAAACATTAAGAGTTTTGTCCCAAATGCAAGGAGGGATCTTTGGGGGGATTAACTTCCAACATACAAACCTACTACAAATGAAAAAAGCCCTTTACACATCCCCATGACCTGGGGGGGGCACATTTTGACATTTTGGTTCAGATTTAGAGTGCATTCTGTATATTATCAAAAGTCATGGAAAATTCTACAGAAACATCAGATAACATTTCCTAGCTTTGTTTAATTTATTAATCTAACTGATCTTTAATACGGTTGTGTTTTTCATTAAACAGACAAACAAGAAGTTGGCAATTTTACTGCTGAGAAGCCACTCTTCAACTTGGCAGCTGTTGTTGCAGAAACAATTGGCCTGGAGGAATCTGTAAGTGAATGATTATCTCTGCAGCCATCGACTGCTGACATTGCTTAAGGCCGACTTCAGTACGGGTATACTGGGGATATTTTAGAGGGAACCTGCTGTTCTGTATTCATATTGGGGTACTTTTATGCTATATAGAACTTCTGATTTCAAGCACTTTCTCTTAAAGCTAAACACTGGACACGTAATCAAAGGTATGAATGTGCAGCTTATGTGCCAGTGTAACCAAAAAAATGTGATTATTTCTTTTGAAAACATCTCATTTACCGTATTTTTCGCTCCATAAGACGCACTTTTTCCCCCCCAAAAGGAGGGGGAAAAAGTGCCTGCGTCTCATGGAGCGAATCCCGACGCCCGAGACATGCAGTTTCGGGCGCCGGGTGAGTAGTAGGAGCCACTGCTCGTTTAATACGAGTGATCTAATGAGATCACTCGTATTAAAACCGAGCAGCGGCGACGATCGAAATAACCATAGAGCAGACGAAGAATAGACGTTCTTCGCCTGCTCTGTGTCATCACTGAGACCGTGGCGCTGTAATCACAGCGCCACCTGTCTCAGCGGTCACTAACTGCAGTTTCTGTCACAGCTTCTGTCATAGAAGCTGTCACAGAATCTACAGTCTCGAGTGCTCCATAAGGCGCGCCGGACCTCCCTGCGTCCTATGGTCCGGTGCGTCTTATGGACCGCAAAATAGGGTACTCATAATGTACCTACAAAATGAATCCCAGACAGTCTACGAACTTTAATACAGCCCTCCAGCTGACCAGTTTCCTAACCACTCCATCTGACCGGTCTGTGGAACACCCTCCTTTTATGCCAGGACCAGGAGGATCTCTTCTCATTTCTCTATCAGTGTTGAGGCAGTGAGAAGCGATATTCTGCAGTTCAGTTTTACTCCTTTTTTTTTTTTTTACATTGTCTTACCCCCTGAACTGCTCACAGTCCCTGCATGCAAGCTCCACCATCTTTGCCATTACCCTTAATGGCATCTTTCAAAGCTTACAGTGGCATTAAAGGACCAAGGTGAGGGAAATGTTGAAACACTTTTCTGGTAATGATTAAAATGTGATCTAGAATAGGTTTTGGTCTATACATGACATTTTCAGGGAACATACAGTTTAACTTTAAACAAAATCTTAATACATTTTTGATGTAATTGGTGTACAAGTGATGTGGTAAGAGGCAGCATGGGAGATAATCTGAGACTGCAATAGTTGTGTACATTGAGCAGTCACAGGATCTAAAACCACTAAGTCTGAATGTGGGAAATGTAAGTGTATGACTAGCTTCAGTTGTATAAATCCCTATGCTTATTCAGTAACGTTTATGTTGGCGGTGTGTGCACATGTCTGACACTGCTCAGCCCCCTGCTGCCTCACACCACAACCCTCTTGTTGCTTTACATTGTGACCAGCCAGAATGTACACAGAGTACCAGAAATTCTTGAAATAATTAAGAATAATATGGAATAAATTTTAAAAAAATCAAAAGGTGCACCTGCCAAAAGTAAAGGAATGTAAACAAATGTACATAAAATACAATAACAGTGCATTGGTGGTGAATACCAAGAACATTTTAAGTGAGTGGCGCATTTAAAAATCTTTACTGTAAGAAAAGGAGTACTGTGTATATGAAATGTTTCCTAGTTTTAATGCTGACTGTGCATGTGCTTTGTTCAAGCAATCCCAGAGTGTATTAAATACTTCCAGGACCAGTGCAGCTACAGTACATGGTAAAAATGAAGAACTTTCGCTAGGAAACAGTGAGCTAGGGTAAGTTATGTGATATAAATGTTTTTAATCTGTGCGTTGTTGCTTTTTTTTTTTTTTGTATTGTATTGCTACTTCAGTTTCAGTTGTTTTGTGATCACATTTTAATAAGGTACATTACCTTATTAAAATGTGCATTTCTAAACTGAGGATGATCTGTTTGTGGAAGGCATTACTTATTACTGTACTGCTGTAGGTACAGGCTGTCTAGATCAGTGGTTCTCAACCTGTGTAACCTCAGGACCCACATTTGTCCTTGGTCATTAAGTTGTGACCGAAGTTGCACTGCAATGGAACACACTGCATCCGATGCAGGCGATAGAACTGTGGGAGACGCATTTGGGATGTAATTTAAATGAATGGCAATTCACTGCACCTACCACAACAGAACATGCGGTAGGTGCCATTGCGTGGTACAGTGAGTTAATCGCATGGGACTGTGCGATTAACGCACTGTACTAGTATGAATGGGCCCTCAAAAACACTGCACACACAACCACAGACACAATCTGACACACTCACAAACATTCTCACACACACACATATATACATATATACACGCAAGGGAGCTGTAAACAATCCACATATTGATGGAGCTCCCTCGCGACCATAGCCTCATCCCACCCCAAGCTGACCAACACCTGGCAGCATATTTTGAATGGCTGCTTGGCACAAGAACTGACAGTGCTGCGCTAGGGGGAGGCTGAGGAGCCTCCCACCTAGAAAAGTGGAAGGCATGTGGCGACCCACTGAAGACTGGGTCGCGACCCACTTTTGGGTCACGACCCACCAATTGAGAACCAAGGGTCTAGATTCCAATCAACTTAATGGATAAACGGTATATAGAGAAATATGTTATATGTAGAAAGTTACAAAAAGGTTCTTGGTTTTTTTTTTCTTTTGCAATTATTTGGGATGTATAGATACATATGCAAATGACAAATTGCATATAAAATATGTTTCTCTAATGTTTTGTGATTAATATTTTAGGTTCACAGAGAATTTACAAGGCAATCCGCATGAAATTGAGTGGGACCCCAATCGAGTGTCACCAGTGTTTGGTATGCCCTCTTCAAAACTGGAGAATAATTCCACACTGGACACTAGTGTGTCTCTTCTGCCTGCTGGAATAAACTTAAACCCTCAGCTTCCTAACAGAAGCCCTCTCCATATACTTTCAAAGCGTGAAGATGCCTCTCTGGTGACTGCCATCAGTCTGTGCCAACAACCAGACTCTGTAATTAGTCAGTGCTCAGGCAACAAACAGATGTCTTTGAAGCGAAACCCCATTGATTCGGTTATCAGTGGGGTCGGCACAAATGGTGCTTTTGTTACCAAAAATCACCTTGAAACTGATGATTACAGACAGACGATAGGAAGGTGTGGGAAGCGGAAAAAATTAGACAATATTAAGGAAACCAATTGTGAAATGTTATCTCTTAACAAGGAAAACAATTTTCCCCTGAAAAGTTCCACGAACACCAGAGAGAACTGCCTAGACAAGCCTTTGGATCTTTCGGATCGTTTCTCAGGATTGCATCCTCAGGAGAGTAGCCGTGAAAACCCCAGAAATAAACTAAAACAAGCTACCATCCAGGAGACACTGAAGACCACAACTAACAGTACTTCATCGCTGCACATGGATAACAAAAAGGCTTTTAGAGGAGAGTCTGGGGCTTCTCATAAGTGTGACGATAATGAAGGAGCCCAAGGTGGCAGTTGTCTGTTTGATGACATGGAGGTAATTCAATTATACTTCTCACATACATACATATATTAGCCTTTATGAACTGTTGTAAGCAAAAAAAATGTATTGGCATTTATAGGTAAATATTGTGACATTACAGGAGTTATTTAAAGCAGAACTTCGGGGACAGTTCTTAATAACTCTTGCAGTGGGGCTACCCCTACACTGCGAGGATTAAGTGCTCATTTTGGTGTAGAGAGAAAAATAACAAAGTTATACTCACCTGATCCTCTGAGCCGGCTTGTTGTGACAGTGCTCCCTCCTGCCTGGCGATGGTATGTTCCTCACAGACCTTGGACCACTGCAGCGGAGGGGGAGAGAAGCTGCAGGGACCATTCTAACAGCAAGCTGGCTCTGAGGATCAGGTGAGTATAACTTTATTTTCCTCCCTAGACCAAAACGAGCACTTAAGCCTTGCAGTGCAGGGGTAGCCTCACTGCAAGCGTTAATAAAACATTTCCCTGGAGTTCTTCTCTACAATGCAGGTGGTATAGTGAGGATACGCACATCTGATTTTTCTGGCCAGAATTGCCATAAAGACTACTGTCTGCTACTCTACTCTCTGAACCTGTCTGTAGCGGAGAGAGTGTTCATCCAAGTGTCTAGTAGCAGAGAGAGTGTTCATCCAAGTGTCTAGTAGCAGAGAGAGTGTTCATCCAAGTGTCTAGTAGCAGAGAGAGTGTTCATCCAAGTGTCTAGTAGCAGAGAGAGTGTTCATCCAAGTGTCTAGTAGCAGAGAGAGTGTTCATCCAAGTGTCTAGTAGCAGAGAGAGTGTTCATCCAAGTGTCTAGTAGCAGAGAGAGTGTTCATCCAAGTGTC